AAAAAGACAAATGCCCCATTGGATGCAGCACAAAGGAGAATAGATATTGTTGAAAATACACTGATACATGGTAATATACTAAGAGAAAAGCAAGCAATTAAAATAGAAATTAGCAAAAAACTTAAAAGGACTTCCAATATAAGCATAACCAATATTCTCAAAGAAAAAGAATGTGAGTAAAAAATGTTAGCATTCAATCCATTACATATTTTTATTCAAGTACAATGACCCAGATAAGCATTTTTGAACATGAAGGACAGTGGGGAATATAATTCTTATAACCCCTAGTTCAGGATAAACTTCAGCTAAGCAGAAACCATAGCAAAAGGCCTGGAGGTGAGCTTTGAATTAATTCAACTGTAGAACTATGACTAAAACAAAAGAGATTATGGTTGTACAACAGAAGGTGAATGTTATGAACCCTAATAATGTTTTCTAAAAAACCACATTGCTTTCATTAATGATAAAAATCACTAAAGTAAACGTCACCAGAATATCTAGGCAACAATTCACAAACCTTACAAAAGTATTTTAAATTTAGTACTCCTAAAACTTTCAGAATTAATGAATGATACACCAGTGTTTCTATCAAACTGTAAAGTGAAATGATTCCTTGATGCCTATGTCCAAGTCTCTTTCTTTGGATTGTTTGTTTTTGTTGTTTGGTTGGTTGAACTGTTTGTAAAATTAAAGTGTAATATAGGCAAGTACTTCTGAAATAACCTACTCTTGATCTCTAGAAATTTCTTTGGGAAGAATCTGGCAGTTACTGAATTGAAGATTATAAAAACTTCTTCAGTCATTCAAGCCACAGAGGACCCTGGCCTAATTAGAATTCTCCCTCTCTAGCTGCCTTCTTCTAGTGCTTTTCAGAGATCAGCTTTTTTTCTGGTCTTGTGCAGTGAATTATGGACCTTGGTAGTAAAACCCCTACATGCTGGTTAATTAAGTCAAAAACTACTCAAGCATCTCAAAAAGTGAACGTCTAACCTTAGAAACATTACATAATTTTGCATCACTAACAGCCTCAGCAGCTGATTTTTTTTATTATTGAAAATTGATAACCAAAATAAGGGTATGTGCGTTAGGTCGGACATCTCTGTTTGGCCTACTTCAATTTACACAAACAGAAAATATTTTTTGAGTTCACAATTTCCTTTCATATGTGTTCTTCATTATTTAGTCTAATATGGGGGTTGTGGTATTATAAAAATACAATTGAGGGTTTAAATAGCCCATATTCAATCAATGAAGTATCTACTTTGGCTGGATGTTGCAGTGGTTTCCAAACTGCTTTAGTCTCACAACCCTAGTAAGTACCAGATTTGTGGGCATATACTCCACAACATGAATGTGTTTATTTATAGATGAGCACGTGTTACTATATTAATATACTATGTACATGGTTAAAATACAGAAATTTCTGAAGAATTAAAGATAAAAAATATTTTATTTATTAATGGCAGGTAACTTTTTGCTGCCACTAGAAATTATTAATAATATTTAACAAGAACAATGTACTTTAATATACTTTATGATTTCTGAACATTTTGGCTTAATATTTTCTATTCAAGCAATTTAAAGCTCAATATGTTCTGATACTTAGTTTTAATGGATAGTATAGGTACCACATAAAAATACGGAGATCTAAACGGGAAAAGGTCATAATGCCACTGACTCTATCCTCTGATAATGCAAAGGCTTAGGGGTTTTAAAATTTGTTTTGTTTTCTTAAATTATTATTTTGTTGCTAATGCCAACTAAAATTCAGCTAGCAAATGTCTATCTTTCCTGATATCTTGCTAATGAATTATATATAATTATATATTTACATATGTTAACCATATGTAATCATACACACAATTATTAATAAAATATAATTAATTGTATGCTATATAATAATATATAATTAATTATATACAATCTTTTTTTTTTTTTTTTTTTTTGAGACAGAGTTTTGCTCTTGTTACCCAGGCTGGAGTGCAATGGCACAATCTCGGCTCACCGCAACCTCCGCCTCCTGAGTTCAGGCAATTCTCCTGCCTCAGCCTCCTGAGTAGCTGGGATTACAGGCACGTGCCACCATGCCCAGCTAATTTTTTGTATTTTTAGTAGAGACGGGGTTTCACCATGTTGACCACGATGGTCTCAATCTCTTGACCTCGTGATCCACCCGCCTCGGCCTCCCAAAGTGCTGGGATTACAGGCGTGAGCCACCGCGCCCGGCCTATACAATCATATTAATATTATTTATTGCATATATAAATATATAATTATGTGCAATTAAATAATTATATAATATATACTACATATATAAATATCTATAATTATGTTATATATTACATATATACAATTATATACATTATTACAATTATATAGTACATGTAATTATATATATAATTCAATTGCTCTAATACTTTAATACATTTTCAAGATATACTCTAACCCATAGAAAGATGGACATATAAAAATACATATATATATATATATATATATATATTTTTTTTTTTTTTTTTTTTTTTTAAGAGATAGGGTCTTGCTTTGTTGCCCAGGCTGGGGTGCAGTGGTGCAACCAAGACTCACTGCAGCCTTGAACTTCTGGGCTCAAGAGATCCTCCCATCTCAACCTCCCAAGTAGATAGTAGCTAGGACTACAGGTATATGCCACCACACCTGGCTAATTTCTGTACTTTGTGTAGAGATAGGATCTATGTTGCCCAGGCTGGTCTTGAACTCTTGGCCTCAAGCAATCCTCCTGCCTTGGCCTCCTGAATTGCTAGAATTACTAGTATGAACCACCACACCAGGCTAAATTTCTGTTTTTAAAAATTGTATGCTAAAATCACCACAACTTTGTAGATATTTTTAGCTAGGTTAGGACATTCTTTTTTTTTTTAGACAGAGTCTCACTCTGTCACCCAGCTGGAGTGCAGTGGTGTGATCTCAACTCACCGCAACCTCTACATTCCAGGTTTTCAAGCGATTCTCCTGCCTCAGCTTCCCGAGTAGCTGGGACTACAGGCACATGCTACCATGCCCAGCTAATTTTTGTTGTTTTAGTAGAGACGGGGTTTCACCATACTGGCCAGGCTGGTCTCAAATTCCTCACCTCAGGTGATTCACCCACCTTGGCCTCCCAAAGTGCTGCGATTACAGGTGTGGGCCACCACGTCCAGCCAGGACATTCCATTTTAAAGGTATCAAACATGCAGATATGAAGAGTTTTAACAGGTGACATACATTATGTTTTAAAATAACATTTTCAAATGTGTATTTCAAAACTGTTCTCCCTGTAACACAGCTTTTCTTCTAAGAAGGTGTTACTTTCTCATTCATTGTTAAAATATTGCCTGTCTCTTGAATGGCCATATTTAAATATATTTTTCAAAAATCTCTACAAGGTAGTATCTACTAAAACCAATTAACACATAAAGTTCAGCAAATTTGGGCGACTTGTCTTTTTGTAAAAAGAAAATGACTATCAATTTTTAGTTCCTTTGTTGAAAACAACTTTTGTGTGGTAGAAGTATATTGATATTACCTATCTCATCACAAAATACAAAGATGCTACATTTTAAAGGACTTGCTTTTACAAAATCAACTAAGTAATACTTTCCTATAAGCACTTTGTATGCATCTGGCTTTAACGTCTTTGCTCTTCTTCAATAGCTTGCTCAGTAGCTTGTCAACGATGCAGCAAATGAATTTCATATATTTTAATGATAATGACTGCAAATCCTTATTCAAGTAACCTGCTTAATAATTTCTATTGAGAAGGGCTGGCTCTGGTCATATTTCATTAAATTACTTTTATCCCAAATGGGAACATCTGCCCGATGTTCACCAATATCCATTCTCTCTCCCTCTTCCTTGGCATCAGAACCTCTATTCTTGGGCTCATCATTGCCCAGAGCAAAGACTACATTTTCCAGAACCCTTTCCCCTTGCAGCTATGCATGACCTTGGAACTAAGTTTTGGTCACTGGGTTGTAAGTAGAAAATATATATAACCTGAAAAGGAGTGGAATACCTTCCTGCTTTCTTTTCCTCCTACCAGCTGGAATTCAGATTTGACTGCTGAAACTTAAGCAACCGTCTTGAAGTAAGAGGGAGAAGCCAGGTGTTGATGCAGCCAAAGCAACAAGAAAAGGGGCAATCTGGATCCTTCCCGACTGTGTGGTCAACAGTAAGCCCTGGTTTGCCTATGTTTACATGACAGACAAATGAATTTCTATCTTCTTTGAGTTTCCGTTCTTTTGGGTTTTCTGGCTCTCACTGGTGTGCCAAACCCTAATGAATGCACCTGGTAATGGGGTTGATGAAGAGCTCATGCTGGGAGTCACAGAAGAGACAGCTCTGCTGTGTTCTCACATCAGCATGTGTTTGCACTATTCACACTACCTTCAATCTGCAGTTTCCTATCAGAAACTGCTTTTAAGCCACTTGTCCATTTTGTCAGGATTCGTTCATAAGAACCACATAACGTAATCTTTAAATCCACTTTATCAGGTACGTGTGAACTGCAATATGTCAGTAGCTTTGAAAGCAAGTGAAGGAGGAGGCTACTATCAGGCAACTCCAACTGTTTTTTCCAGACAACTCAACAGCCACATGTAACCTGTGTTTGTCTGAAATACAGACCATGTGAGGACACCAGCATCCATGCTAAATATTAATAAAGCTTCATTTTCCCTTGGTTCATACAGAAGTATCTGAAGAAGTTCCACTTTCTTCCTGCTCCTCTCCTGCCCCTACTCACAAGTGCTTGTATGCACCTGGTTGGTGTACAACCCCCCTCCCTTTACAGTCCACTGTCAAGGGCATGGAAGGACTCGCAGGTAACTATAGGTTTCCCTCCTGGATCATGACACTAGGCTGCAAGACAAAAATGTTCTTGGCTGAAAAATCAGAATAAATAAGTGCTTTCCATAAAGTCAAAAATGTGTAAAAGCAAATGGTACATCAAAAGGTGGGGGTACAGAAAGATTTTGATGCCTTACCTGAATACCTCGAGAACAGTCCTTTCCGGTAATTTGGGAGCCACCTGCCTAAATGCTTTTTTGAAATCTTCCAAAGTTAAAAATCCACGATCTATTTGAAAACAATAAAAAATATTCACTTACTTTGATGAGCCCTATGAAATGTTACTTTAGCCATAACATTTGTGCAAAACTTATTTTAATATATCACTAGGAGAAAAGCAGTAATTTATGATTCATTTTAAACATAAGGTAATCTGAGGTTGTCTCATCAGAAGAATTTAAGAATCTAATCACACTTTACTTCAGTGTAGTCCCAGTTGATCTTGAAGGTCACTTGTGACCCTATCATTTTGCTGATTCTCTCAGTCCCAGGGATTCATGTATGAGACGTGCACTGTAACAATGGTGTTAGACTTTGAGTCTTTGTGAGTTGCCAAAACAATGCAGTCTTCAAAATTCATGTCTTTTCCCTTGTCTGGTATTAGAATAATGAAATGTTAATATTTAGAAGGAAATCATAATGGCAGCCAAGACATTGAATCTAGTCTCCACAAGCCTTTTCATTCTGTGTATGATCTATGGGGCTTAGGGGGTCTGCAGCCACCCCTCTCAGCCACACCCTATGTGGGAAAATAATTCCACCAATCATATGTAGGTCAGAGCAAGAGTTGATGAAGAAGCCACACAGTCTCCCACACCTCCATAAGTGGTTCATGTCCTATATCCCCCATGGCCAGTCCTTTTGCTGTCCCCATGACCATCAAGGTATAATATATAATATATTAATACAACTATATAACTGTAAATACTTTTTTTTTTTGAGGCAGAGTTTCACTCTTCTTGTCCAGACTGGAGTGCAATGGCACAATATCAGCTCACCACAACCTCTGCCTCCTGGGTTTAAGTGATTCTCCTGCCTCAGCCTCCCAAGTAGTTGGGATTACAGGCATGCACCACCATGCCCAGCTAATTTTTGTATTTTTAGTAGAGACGGGGTTTCTCCATGTGGGTCAGGCTGCTCTTGAACTCCCGATCTCAGGTGATCTGCCTGCCTCGGCCTCCCAAAGTGCTGGGATTACAGGTGTGAGCCACTGCACCCAGCCTGTAAATACTATTTCATCCATGATAAATGTTAAGAATTTAAGATCACGATGCAGAAAAAAACGTGCACCAATACCTAAGATAACAGCTAATGAATACAGTAATCTAATCTTCCAAGTATATTATATGCTTGATTTACTGGGTATATATAATCCTATTCGCAATCCCTTAATAGCAATTTTTTATATCAAAACACTTCAGAGACACTTACAGTATGTGTCAAAGGCTGTGAAGATGTGTCTTACTTCACTCCGATATCGTTGAGCTTCCTTCTTCTTCTTTACAATATTTAAAAACTCCTCAAGTAATATACCTAAAAGTTGAGAAAAAAACAATTTGTCAAAGATTACTGACTTCCCCTTTAAGAAAAAATTAAACAGAAATGAACAGTCAGAAATATCACCAGTAATCAAATTGTATCTTAATTTTGGTGAACAGTATTTACTCATGATCTGTAAAGTTTCCTGAAGACCTAAAAAGGCATTTTGCTAGAAGCTAACATTTAACAGACCCAACACTAGAAATTAATAGTGAAAATGCAAGAGACTTTTAGGGTTCATTGAGCTTTTTCCAGGGGTAAAGGAATAGTGAACTTGAAAAAGTTTAACACTCTTCCCTCTAACAGCTCGAATAGGCATGAAACTACTTATTAAATAAGGTCTCCTAATTTCTTTCCTTATGCCTCTTTGATCCCTTTTTTCCTAGCCAGATGTCACAACAGTAGGTTTTTTTTTTTTTTTCCAACTGGGAGATCGGGTCAGAGAAGTAGTTTCTTAAAAGTCAATACCAATTGCATACCATAGATAAAGGTGGAGAGAATACTACATAAACAATAGAGCTGGCACCATCCCCAGCCCTGGATACACCCCACAACGTGTGGAGCAGCCTCAGGCTCAGCTTCCTGCGACTCTGATAATAAAAGAGCCCAGCGTGATAAAATGAGATTGGATACTGTGCTTACAACGTCTATTTAAATGAATTCTAATGTGATCTTTGTAGCAGGTTTAAAGAGCGAAGCCAAGAATTTAAACATTTTGGTGAACTGAGCTCTAAATATATAAAAAGAGCGGTTCATTTATATAACTCAGAATTTCCATAAAAAACATCATCGCTCCGTTTTAAAAATAGCCTCCAACCATACAATAACCACATGCACGTTTTTTCTTTTAGTGAGGTAATACTAAGCTGTATACTTTTCTAAAATAGCTCCAATCATTTAAAAAAAGGTAGAAATGATTTTCTTAATTTCCTACGTCTTTATTTATATTTAAAGATTTATCAACTTAAAACAAAGATCTGTCTTTCTGTTTTCAAATGAGTCCTTTATAATGTTTTAGGACCTACTGTGGGCCAGGCACTGCATTAAGCTTTGGAAATAGAGGGGAAAAGAGAACATACATGCTCCCAAGGGAGCGACCTGTCTGGTGGGGAAGGCAGTCATTACACAGGTTCGAATGCAAACGCACACCTCATTGCAAACTGTGGCATGGACAATGAGGGGAAAGACATGAGGTTGTGAAAAAGATTCCCCGGAATCCTCATGTAGACTCTGGTGAAGGAGAGATCCCTTCAAGGAGGAGATATTTAAGCCAAGATATAAACCTTGAGACAACACCAACTGGCTAATGTTGCGAAGAAGAGCACTGTTGGCAGAAGAAAAAGCCCGTGCCAAGGCCGTGGGGTGGCAGGGTGGGAAAATGAAAAAAGGCTGCTGTGGTTGGAACGAAGTGAGCCAGAGAGAAGTGACACAAGATGAGGCTGGGGAGGGAGGCAGGGGCCAAAACTCACAGGCTCCTGTGGGTCACAGTAAATAATTTGGGTTTTATTTAAGTGCAATAGGAAGTCAACAGAAGTTCTGAATTGGGAAGTTATAGACCTGATTTTTGAAAGATCTTTCTGGCTATTTTTTCAATCTTGAAAAAAGGATTGGGGTGGGGGAGCAAAAAACGTAAAGAGAGAGACCAGCTAGGAACCTACTGGCAAGAGATGTGGTTGCCAGGTTGCTGGCAGTGGGAATGAGAGGAGTGGAAGGTTTCCAGATATATTTTAGAATCTAAATGACATAGCTTGATGAAGAACTAGATGTGGCGGGTGAGAAAGGAGATGTCAAGAATATCCCGTAGATTCTGGCTGGAAGAGCTACTTAAAGAAAGGAGAACATCTAGGGGAAGAGCAAAATTGGGGCAAGATGAAAAGTTGCCATTCAGAAGTGTGAAGTGTGAAGTCCTCCAGAGACAAGCAATAGGAGAAGTTCAGGAGGTGGCCGGCTGTCCTCTGGACAACAAGACATATCTCCCTCACCTACCCGAGTGCCTGATAGGTGCTCAACCATACGTACTGTAGTAAATTAGCACGTGTAGCATTTTTTCCATAGTTGTGGGGATATACACTGATGCAGTTCCATGCGAGGCATAGTGGCTCACCCCTGTAATCCCAGCACTTTGGGAGGCCAAGGTGGGTAAATCATGAGGTCAAAGGTCAGGAGATTGAGACCATCCTGGCCAATGCGGTGAAACCCCAGTTCCACTAAAAGTACAAACATTAGCTGGGTGTGGTGGTGCGTGCCTGTAGTCCCAGCTACTGGGGAGGCTGAGGCAGGGGAATTGCTTAAATCCAGGAGGTTGTAGTGAGCCGAGATCGTGCCACTGCACTCCAGTCTGGGTGACAGAGCAAGACTCCATCTCAAAAAAAAAGAAAAAAAATTGATGCAGCTCCATTCTTATCTAATCACTGTTGTGGCAAAGAACATATGCAAAATTGCTGAGGTTAAAATTGAAGTCTAGCCATGTCATGTTCCCATAAGGTCATATCCATAACTTTACTTTCATGAACACCAAAAGCTAGTCAATTAAGTAGCATCTAGAGTAGCTGAAATTCTTGAATAATTCATTCACTGATAATGGCATGTCCTATGATGGCCTTCAGAAACATACCCCAGTTTACCTCTCAAGGCTTCCTAGTCAACTTCCTGATGCTCTCCCAAGACAAGCGGCCCTTTTATACGCCACACCTTTGCCTGTATAAAACACGCTGCCTGGAATCATGCACTTGCTCCTTTTTTTCTCCTAGTGAATGTTTACATCTCCTTCCAGATGCAACCCAGGCAACATCCCCTATTTGAATGTGTCTCTGATTTCTCTCAGCCGAGTCCTTTTTCTATGACCCGACAGCCCTTTGTTGATTATGCAATCACAGAAGTGATTAGGATCTATGGTAATTATTTGGCCGCAGGTCTGCCTGAGACATGCTGAGGGAAAGCAGTTACAGTGTTCAAAATTTCATCCCACCATTAGCATGATGCCTAGCAGACAGTAGGCATGCATTACATGTTTGCTGAGTAACATTCAATGAATAACAAATAAGATGTTATTTCTAGTTTTTAGTAAAAAACATTAAAATGTGTATGTCGGGGGTGGGGGGTGTTCTCCTAGAGACAAGGTCTCCCTCTGTTGCCCAGGCTGGAGTGCAGGGGCTAGTCACAGGCATGACCACTGCGCACTGCAGCCTCAAAATCCTAGCCTCGAGTGATCCTCCACCTCAATCTCCCCATTAGCTGGAACTAAAGGCATATGCCACCACACCAGGCTTAAAATGTGTATTTTAGACCAGGCATGGTGGCTCATGCCTGTAATCCCAACACTTTTGGGAGGCCAAGGTGGGCAGATCGATTGAGGTCAGGAGATCCAGACCAGCATGGCCAACATGGCAAAATCTGTCTCTACTAAAAATATAAAAATTAGCCAGGTGTGGTGGCTCATGCCTGTAATCCCAGCACTTTGGGAGGCTGAGGTAGGTGGATCACCTGAGGTCCTGAGGTCAGGAGTTTGAGACCAGCCTGGCCAACATGGCAAAACCTGTCTCTACTAAAAGTACAAAAATTAGCCAGGTGTGGCGGCATGCACCTATAATCCCAGCTACTTGGGGGGCTGAGGTAGAAGAATCACCTGAACCTAGGAGGTGGAGGTTGCAGTGAGCTGAGATCGTGCCACTGCGCTCCAGCCTGGGTGACAGAACAAGACTCTGCCTCAAAAAAAGAAAAAAAATGTTTTAAATGGTCTTATTATTCTGTATATGAATGCCAAAAAGTAGGTCACTTTCTATGCACATAGCCAGCAAAATAGTCACTTCAGAAACCCAAATTCTTAAAACATGATGTAGTAAAAACCAACCAAAATTCTGAGAGAACTACATCCATAATATTTGCTCTTATCATTGCATTTGACTTAGAGAAATGACAAAGGGAAAAAAAGCACAATTCCATGGTTCATTGTGTAACTCACAAGGAAAAAAAAAGGACATGAGTGGTGACATCTTTTAAATTACATATTCAGATAATTCATGAGTATTTGCAGCTATGAAGTATTTGGGTCTTTACTTCACAATATTGCAGGATAAAAACAAATGTTCTTTAGCTTTTACTAGAAAATGTGTGTAGATTTAAACTGAATGCCTATTACCACTTGAAAGGAAAAGACATCCAGTTACACAAATTACTCTGTATGTATAATCAACTTCTTTCAGACTATTTTCCCACACAATCATATACTTTATTTCTTAAAGCCCACACACTATAGGTTAAACTCATCAAGTACATATTGTGTGAACATATGCCCTCCCTTCTATGTCTTTGTCTTAGTCTTCCAAGACAACACTTATTCAAATACAAGCCCCTTTTCTAAAATGCACAGAGAAGTTTCCATTCAGCTCAGCTCTCATGTTGTAGTAATACAATCACTTTCCAAAGCCAATACATAATAACATGGTACTCCTAAAGCTCTACAATGAAAACACATTAACGTAAGCTGTATACATCTAGCTCTTTCAATAGCCTAGAAATAGAGTTCCTACTACTAGCTCCACCTGCTGTCACAACATTCAAACCTACAACTTCCTCTTCACAAAGGCTTTCAGTAATTCTACTGACATCAGATTTCATACCCAAGAAGAAATGTGTCCCCTCCCACCCCGCCTCCAGAGGAAGAATATGTTCAGAAAATTCTAATTTCAAATATGATGTTGAGTCTTTTGTGTATACTGTTCTGCTAATAGTAGTTACATAAACATACTTTACTGTGGTTACAGATTAGGATCACAACATTAGGAACCACATAGATCTATGTGTTTATCTGTGCTTATTGTTAATAGTCTGCAGAATGTATTCAGAAATTGCTTGGGTCATTGGACTCTATCAACAGTTGGCAAACTAATTTTTTAGCTATAGGAAAGGTTCTTCTTTACATGAGAACGAAAGCCTCATGTGTAGAGGAGATAAAGACAGAACTATTTGGTTTGAAGGGCTTCCCATTCTTCCCT